GGGTTTGTTAGAATAGCTGTGAATTCACCTATCTGAATTTCCTTCCAGTTCCCATTTCTCATTCATGCATTCCCTCTTCAATAAACATGTATTAAATAGCCATTGACTCTCTGACAGACCTGTCCACATGTGCACATCGGGAACACTAGTCTTACCATATCCTAGGACACCCTTGCATTCAAGATGGTCCATTCTCTGACTTCTATCTGTGTCTCCAAACTACTTCTTCACACAGATTCTTCATTCTAATCTACACGGTTCCCAGGCTACCATCAAGGAAAACCTGACTATATTATGTATTATCTCCTTCCTCAGGGCTATTGTAGTCCACTGTGGAGACTGCACAGTAAGTTACACAAGAAAATAATCTGAAACTAATTTAAAACTACATGCACTAAATCACAGAATACCACATGATCCACCACAAGTCCTTGATTAGCCTAGAGAAGAAAGTCATCACAGTTTAGCACTAAGAGTAGGGAAGGTGCCCTTTTGATTCATCCTTCCTACCCACCTATCTCAGCCCATTAGGGGACACACAGAGCTCTGCTGGTGGTGCTCTGATGTAGTCTTTCATCTGGAAATCACACGTCTACAAATCCTCTTCAGCCAATCTGTACTTTGGTTGCAATCTTGTGTTAGTTTCAGCATGAGTACACCTTCCAAGTATCTGATATTTCTAACCTAAATTCTTTACTCAATGTATTAGTTTCCTAGGACTGTTGTTACAAAGTACCACAGACTTGGTGGTTTAAACAACAGAAATTTATTGTCTCACAGTTCTGGAGGTCAAAAGTCCGAGATCAGATTGTAGCAGGGTTGGCTCCTTCTTAGGGCCGTGAGGCAGGCTCTTTCCTCCAGGCCTCTCTCCCAGCTTCTGCTGTTTGGCTGGTACGCTTTGGCACCCCTTGGCTTACAGACACATCGCCCTGATCTCTGCCTTCATCTTCACGTGGCACTCTCTTTGTCCCCTCATAGAGTTTTCCTTTTGTTCATGCCTGTCTCTAAATTTTCCCTTTTTATAAGGACACCAGTCATGTTGGATTAGGGGCCGCCCCAATGATCTCATTTTAATTACCTCTGGAAAGATTTCCGAATACAGTTCATTCTGAGGTACTAGAGTTGGGATTTCACCACGTCTCTTTTGGGGGACATAATTCAACCCATAATCTTCCCTGTGTCTCCCCCAGTCCACAATTCATGTTCTTTCCACATACAAAATAGATTCACTCCATCCCAGCATCTCCAAAAGTTTTACTCATTCCAGCATCAACTCTAAATCCAAATCTCAAAGTCCCAAAACTCATCATCTAACTCATCCAAATCAGTTATGGGGGAGAGATGGGCTATTCATCAGAGGGCACATCTGTAAACCTGCACAACCAGGCATTGAGTTATTTGTTTCCAAAATATAATGGGAGACTAGCAGAGGATATTCCCATTCCCAAAGGGAGAAATTGGAAGGAAAAACGGAGTCATGGGTCGCAAGCAAGTCTGAAACCCAGCAGGACGAATTTCATTAGATTTTAAGGCTTGGGAATAATCCTGTGTCTGGATGCTGTGTCCTGAAGGATGTCACCATCAGGGTGGGGGTGCCATCCCTTCCCTTGGTCCTGAGCAACAGCCCTGCCTTCTGGGTCTGAGAAGAAAACCTCTACCCTTGGTGGCAGAGACAGTGGCAGCCTCTCTGGCCTCTGAAGCATTATCAGACTTATTCTTCCCTTTTCTTGAAGAATAATATGTGTCCACAGCCAAGTAGCTCCATCAGCCCATTTCCTGCTGATTAAATCCCAGAAGTCTGACTGCCTCCCTTCATTTTGCCCCATTTCTGTCCCCCGTCAGTTCAAGCTGGCAGTGTTTCTGCTGAGATGTCTTATTGGATTCACACACCACACCCTTAATATTCACTCTAGCACGTGTTCTCATTTTTTACAATATGGATACACTGATAGTTTTCCAAATCTTCCAGTTCTGGTTCCTTTTTGCTAACAATTCCTTCCTCAATTTATCTCTCTCCTCTTGCATTTTACTATAATCAGCAGGGAGAAACGAAGCAATGCCTTCAACACTTTGCTTAGAAATCTCAGCTGAGTTCATCACTTGTAAGTTCTACTTTCTACCTAACAGAGCACAGTTCAGCCAAGTTCTCTGCCACTTTATAAAAAGGATCACCTTTCCTTAGTTTCCAATAACACAGTTCTTATTTCTGTCTGGGATGTCACCAAGAAACACCTTTAACATTCATATTTCTAGCAACATTCTGTTCATGACAATGCATGTGTTCTCAAAGGCAATAGTGGCTTTCCCTACAGCTGTCTGCTTTTCTGTCTGAGCTCTCACCAGAACATCTTTCCACTAACAGTCTCTCCTAGGCAATCTAGCCTTTTCTAGCATGTGTCTTCAAACTTTTCCAAACTCTACCCGCTACCCAATGCCAAAGCCACTTCCACATTTTTAGGTACTTGTTACAGAAGTACCTCACTTCCCTATAGCAAGATCTGTATTAATTTCCTAGAACTGCTGTAACAAACTACTTCTAACTGGGTGGATTAAACAACAGAAATGTATTGTCTGCCAGGCTGGCAGCTGGAAACCTGAGATCCAGGTGTTGGTGGGATCGGCTCCTCCTGGGGGCTCTGAGGGAGAACCTGCGTAGGCCTCTCTTCTGGCTCCTGGCGGGGTGTTGACATTCTTTGGCCTCCCTTGGCTTACAGCTGTGTCACCCTGACTAGTCTCTGCCTTCATCTTCCCATGGCATGGCTTCTTCCTTTGTTTCTTCACATTACCTTCCCTCTGTACATATCTTTCTCCAAATGTTCCCTTTTTATAAGGACATCAGTCATGTTGGATTAAGGCCCATCTTAATGACCTCATTTTAACTTCTTACCTCTGGAAAGACCCCATTTCCAAACAAGGTTCTATTATGAGGTAGGTTTTGGGGATTAGAACTTCAACATGTCTTTTTGTGGGAACATAATTCAACCCTTAAGACTGATGAATTATAAGCATGTGCTAGCAGTAAGTCAAGATTTTCAAACGCGAATTATCATTTCTGTTAAATACAACACAGACTTGGACTGGTATCAATTTATAATTCTTCTATCCATTCATTTGGTATTTATTGAATCCCTACTATGTGCCAGACATTCTCTAGCATCCTGAGGTTCTTGGACTTGAATGAGAAACAAGTGACATCTTTATTTTCACTAGCCTCTAATTGAAAGCTACATTCCTTACATTTTGAATGTTACAAATCACATTAGCAGGACCTGTAACTGTATTTAAATCTTTAATACCACATATCAAAGATCTTTCCATATCACAAGTGTTACAGATACTTCAGAATATGGTTTATGATCTTCATTATCTTGAAATTATGGGTGAGTACAGTTTCTACTTTATCTTGAGTACTCCAAAGAAAATAAAAAGGCAGTGTATTCATAGATAGACACATATATTATTATATCAAAACTTTAAAAGAATTTGGATAACTATTTTAGTGCAACTGCTTTGTTTTGTAAATCTATGTATTTTATTTTATGCTATTAAAAATTCTGTTCTTTGAAGGGTCCATAGGATTTACCTTATTATATGTGTTTCTATGTAAAAAAACTGTTGGATTCTCTCAAATAACTAAGAATTAAGAGTAATCCTTGGAGTACTCATCCTTTAGAGGTCAAGCTGAGAAAAGGACTCTATGAATGCTCTAGCCAGTTGTGCAATGCTGGGTGTTACAGGAATCTGGATCTGGGCTCAGAAGAAGAGGAAAAGCTACCAATTTAAAATCCTATAATATCTCTGGTTTTAGCAGGTAGTACTGAGTCTGGCTATGAGAAAGGGGCTATCATGCCCCCTAACTTATGTCTACACCTAGAACATCTAAGATGGGTGTGGGATTGAGAGGAGCATGACAGGACTGATAAATTCTTTGTTACTTCAAAGAGTCCAATACTTTTTGTACTTAGAAATACATTATCATATAAATGTAATTAATATAATATGTATTTAAGGAAAGGGGAGGTAAATATTTCTTTATAGAAAAGCTTTGAGCATATTTGTCTTCCCATAAATTTATGATGCTAAACATACATTTGAATTCTTCCTGTCATAAGGTAGACTATTATATACATATTATATATCAATAACTATTTGACTGATTGATCATGAAATGTATAAGTAGTGGTCCAAAAACGGTTTAAAAATTGATTTATATATATGATTCTTTTTTGGTGTAAGTAAAAAATACTCAAGTGTCTCCACTTAAAGGCATAGTAAGTAATAGTATGCCATCTCTAAATGTGTTTTTTGAAAAATCAATTTTACAACATAGGGCGTCATATAAATTGAGAAAGTCATGCTATTCTTTTTTTCAGTTGGTCAACAGAGACTGAGCTCTTGGACAGAAGTCCAATTAATGAATTTTGGAAATATTGAACATCATTTGTCTTGTGCTGTGACACTTTTAGTAGTCTATGCTTTGCTAAGGATAGTTGATGCTTGAACAATGCAGGGTTTAGGGGTGGTAACCCCATGCAGTTGAAAATTCCCTTATAATTTTGGCCCCCCAAAAGTTAACTACTTATAGTCTATCATTGACCAGACACCTCACCAATAATATAAACAGTTGATTAATACATACTGTGCATGTTACATGTATTATATACTGTATTATTAAAATAAAGTAATCTAAATAATTTTTTTTCAAATTGTCACAAATTTCCAAAAGATTTTTGAAAAAATTTGGGTATATGTGGACCCATGCAGGGGTTCAAGGGTCAGCTGTATTTGGAAAACTCTCAACCTTTGTTCTAGAAAAGCATTCTTGTTGTTGCATGTGTTCCCCTTTGCCATACTCAAACATTTAGGAAATGGAAATAGGGAAGCAGTAGCTTCTTAGAAAAACTATAGATGAATGAACAGGAACTGCAAAATTAGCAAAATGTAGTAGAACTGTTGATCTTGTACATTACTGCTTTTGCTTATTTTTTCTCTTTTGCTAGGAGACCTGTTCTTATGATGTGTGTGGTACTTACCACACTTCCCAGCTTCAGCTTTTCAATAGCAGTGACTGAGGTATGGCATTTTTAATTTCTTCTGCTGCAAGATTTTGAGTTTTTAAACTTACCTCTATACCTGGAATTTGACAGAGCAGTGTGCCAAACAATATTCTGGAAGTTTATTTTATCTGTTCTTTTTCTAAGTTGCAACATACATATTTAAAGCACTAAGATCATTGTCACCTCTGTAGTTGTGGAGGAAGGTGTGTCTAGCATTCAGGTTGAAAAAATTGCTTCTGTGTTTATGTGTGTGAGACAGGGATAGGTTATTTCAAACAAAATAACAGAAAATCAAGGAATTTGAAAGTAGATCCACATTTTCTTCTTCTAACATGATGTTTTTCACAAGTGTCCTCACTTCAAAATGTAATAAAATAATATCTAAGAGAACAACCACTGACACTCTAATAAGACCTTTGATAATATATCCATTGACAAATGATTCACACATGATATATATTTGAAAATATATGTTTAGACTACATGCAGCTTCAAAAGGACTCTGATGTCTGTGGGAGAGGATTATTATAGGCAGAATTTTCAGGCTGTAAAAACTTTATTGTCCAAGAAGCTCAAAGAAGGATGCCCTTCTAATCTTATAATTTGCAAGGGGCTGTGAATAGATAGAATTTTTATTTCTCCAATGTGCACAACTAAAATTACTTTGTAATATTTCACTTATACGTTAAGTAGATATTCACTGAGTGCATCTTGCATGTTAGGCACTGTGTTAGGTACCAGGATAGAGCACTCTGGAAATCTGACCTTCAATAATTATTTATTGACAGTAGAGAGATAAACAAGCAGGCAGATTAGGTATGATATGTGTTTTGAGAGAGGTAATGTACAATATCATTAGATATAATTGTTAGAATAGGTCCTAGTTGCTATATTAGGACTATATAAGAATGCATAGAATAACCTTGAGAGGCCCCACAGATATACTTTGCATCAAACTGCAGCACATGAATACTTTAATCGAGAGTTATCATTTTCTCCTCCCTCTTCCCCAAAGACCTTGTAAAGTACTGGGGAGATTCCCAAGTTATTAAAAAAATGCAGTTTACAACCTTTCAAAGAAAATTACTATAATAAAAAGATGGTGTATCTGTGGCTTTATCACCTTTTTTTGGTTCTTTCACATTATGTCTGACCCACTTACATATTTTTCTTTCCTACTTTTAACTTTTCACTGAAGTGTAACACATAGACAGAAAAGTGCACAAAACATAAAATACACAATATTAATGGAATACCACAAAGCAGATCCATGTGTAAACACTACTCAGGTCAAAAAATAAAACTTTGCCAAGTCCCTAAAAGCCACACCCATGCTTCTTACCATGACTACATTTCCCACCTCCCCAAAGGTAACTTCTACCTTAACTTCTAATACCGTACATTAGTTTGTCTGCTTTTAAAACTTCTATAATCTATCTATGTAATTTGTATCTGGCTTCTTTTATTCAAACGTGTGGTTTATCTATGTTTTTGTATTCAACTCTAGTTTATTTTCATTCTTATAGAATAGTTCATTTTATGAATACATCACAATTTATCAGTTCTACCTCTTGATAGCCAGTTTGGTTGGTTCTAGCTTTGGCTATTACAAATAATACTGCTGTGAATATCCTTGAACTTGTCCCTTGATGTACATATGCAAGCATTTCAGTTGGTTAAACATGTAGAAGTAGAATTGATGGGTCACAAATTATCCAAATGTTCAACTGTAACTGATAGAATCCGGACCTGAGTACCACCTTTCGAATAAGCCCCACCCACCATCACAGAGAGACCTAGGTGTCATCTTACCTAGGCTACAAGTATTCTCCAGAGGACATGTAAGCAAGCCACAAGCCCATCTTTCCCCTGACCCCTCCCCTCAAAGAGCCCACCAAAAACCCTGGCCGTAAAAAGCCTCTTGACCTGTTAGAGACCCCTTTTCCTTTGTTCTGCTGGCCAGGACAGAGGGGTCCCTCTCAGGTTCAGCAATAAACCTTCTTGGACTGTTGAGTGTTCACATCCCCTCTTTTTTCTTTCATCTATCCCCTCTTTTCTTTCACCTATTCCCTCTATCCCTTTCAGTAACAGAAAATGGCAGTTTTCCAAGGAGATTATACTATTGTAGAGTTACACGAGCAGAGAATAAGCATTCCTGCTGCTCCATAACCTCACCAGAACTTGCATTATAAGTCTTTTTGTTTTAGCCATTCCAGTGCCTATATTCTTGAATCTCATTGTACTTTAAATTGCATTTCCCCAATAATTAATGAGACTGAGCATATTTTCATCTTACCCATTTTTTCTATTGTGTTGCCTTTTAAAAATTGATTTGATAAAGTTACATATAAGTAATACAGATTTTACCCTCTTTGTTGAATATGTGTATTGCCCATATTTTCATACTTGGTGACTTAAAACTCTTGATGATATCTTTCAATGAAGAGAAGTTCTTAAATTAAAATTAGTTGTTTATCAATTTCCTTTATGAATAGTGCTCTTGGTAACTTCTCTGAGAAGATTTTTGTCACATTGTGAATCTGAACAAAGACCTGAAGGTATTCTGTATTATATTTTGGAGACTGTATTGTTTTACCATTCTCTTCTAGGTGCCCACTCCAACTGGAATTAGTTTTCATATATGTTGTACAGTAGGGAGTCAACTTTTATTATTTTTGTCTGAAAGTAACATCCAATGGACTGAGCACCATTTATTACAATCTGTCTTGCCACTTCCTGGCAGTGCCACTTTTGTTATACATGAGGTGTGTGTGTATATATATATATATATATATATATGTATGGTCTATTTCTGAGCTTTCTGTTCCATCCTATTCCTTAAATTTCTATTCCTGTGCCAGCACTGCATTAACTTAATTCTTGTAGATTTATGGTAGCTTTTTATATCCAGAAGAGTAAATCTAAAGTTTCTTTTTTCTTCTGGAGTGTTTTGCCCTTTGTGTTCCTATATAAATTTTAGAGTCAGCTTGTCATTTTCTACAAAAACTTGGAATTTTTATTGAGGTAGCATCAAATGATATCATTTTTTGAAATCTCATTTTCTCTTTGTTGTTAGTCTATAGAAATAATTTATCCATTTTAGAGGGTTTTCTCTATATACAATCATTTATTCTATGCATAATTATATTTTGTTTTTCTTTTCTTTTCAACACTAATACTCTTTCTTTCTTTCTCTTGCCTTATTATACTGTCTGGGACTTGTGCTACAATGCTGAATAGAAATAATTATGGTGGCATCTTTGGTTCCTGATCTCAAAGGGACAGCTCTGAACATATCATGATTAATATGGTGCTTGCCATGGTTTTTTTTTTGTAGATACCTTAATCAGATGAAGGAAGTTTCCCAAGCCTATCTGGGTTTACCTGAGCTCTCCCTAGACTCCAATGCTTGTTCCCCTAGCTATCAGAGCTGAGAACACCCAGAGGCTTTGCTTAGCAGTAGTGTTGCAAGGACTTGAGCATTCCACACTTACCAGGAATGTGCTGTGTTATTTTTGCATGTATTTACCAACGTCTGTCTTTAACTGAAAGCTCTTCCAGGGACATGAATCCTTATCACATCTTTAGAAATGGTTCAAAACCTTGTGGTCCTGAACACTTGAGAACCTGAAAGACAAGCTTCTAGTCCTCTAGTAAATGTGTTTGTAATTCACTTAGCACTGCTTTCAGACTGTTAAAATAATTTTGAACAAAGAAAGCGCAAAGATGTAATGCTTCTAAATGGTTTTTTGAAAACAGATTCAAAAGGATATGAATGGTTCTCTTGCTGTCTTACCTGATACCTTACCTGACCTGCCAGTTTCCCTGGTTGTGACTTCCTTGATCATGGTTGATATTATTGAAAAACTCAGGATATATCCTCTTAGAGGGAAGCAAAAGAGTAAGTACTCTTTTAAATATAAATTTTTAGAAGTTTGACATATTATTCACTTTTTCTGTCACCCTAATTGTTTAATGATACCTTTCCTTAGAGCTAATGTTACAATTAGAAGATTACAAATGAAGATATCTAAATATGATTATCTTTAAATCTACTTTGATAGATATACAGTTATTATTTGCTTTATGATAATATGAATAATAAATGAATAAAGTTATTAATGAATAAATATTTAATATGAAAACCTTAATGTTTATTCTAGCAAGAAAATTATCTAAGTAAACTATTATAGATTTGTATTTTTAGGAACTTTCTTAAAACCTTAAGTTTAGGTAAATAAATACATAGTTTATTTTGGATAACTTTGATACAGCAGTTAATGTGACTACTGCAATTAAGTCCTTGAGAATTATATGTTTTAAATTGTGGATTGTCAAAAATTAAAGATCACATAAATGCTGCATTCTTCCAAAGGGATCAATCAAAACTACATAGAGGTTGTTGGTCTTTAAAAAAAGGTATTTTATTAATCAAAAATATTTTGTTTGGTCAGTTCATGAATTCCCACAGCTTTCATTTAATTTCACGTGTTTATCATGTATCTGTGTTTAAAGTACTTGCAATATTTGGATGCTACAAGTATTGTATGGCTAAAATTTTGTATTTGAAATGGGTAAGTTTTATCTAATCACTTCCTCCTGGGTGGTTGGGGTAAATTGAGTGACTCATAGGAGAATGTTTTAGAGTAATAGGGATGACTATTATAGCTTGGAAGGAAGGACCAGGGAATCATTTTTGGGTCATGAAACACCACCCTTCCTGTCACTTTTGCTCCTCGTTTTGAAAAGCAAAACTGTGTTGGAGACCACCAGGAAACCTAAGACTCTGAGATTCACATTTTGCACTGTGTCCTGTGAGGGAAATGATATACTGTTGTGTTTAATCTAACACAGATGGCAAGTAGATAAAATGGCAGCCAGCGGCCAACTGCTGAGAAAAAGATACTCCCAACTGACAACTGTGCCCCAGAGTCAAGTTTATTTAACTTAAACTGAAGAGAGTTGGGGATCACCAAACCCTTTGCTACTTCTCTAGACTCCTTAGTGACATAGACCTCTTTTGAAATTGGACTGTTTTTAACAACCCTGTATTTTCCATGTTAATGTGAACTTTCTGTCCAACTTTTTAGTGAAGTTCTCTTTTAAAAAAATGCACATTATATTTTTGGGAATAAGTTATTGGCATCTTATATTTTAAGCGATGAGTTGTATTTTTAAAGGGAAATATTCCCTGTATCCAAAGTGATGATGACAGTGAGAGTTGAAGTAAGAGAACCCCAAAGAAAAAGTCAGTCTTGGGGGGAAGACTCTAGAATGTCTTATACAACTGCTTGTTCTCAGTTGAACAGCCTCCTTGAGTCTTCTCTGCCTAAACTTCGGAGAGTTACTATCTGGTGTAATAGCTCCACCACTGAATAAGACCATACTTCTTGTTCACTCAAAATACCTTTGTAAACATTAATTACACATGTTTTCAACTTTTAGGCAAACTTTGAACTCAGATAGTCTCCTGTATTCATTTTACCATGCATACCAATAAAATAAATTATGAATTTTGAATCCATGGAGTTTTCTCATCCTGTGGAACTTAATACATAAATCCATAGATATATACATTGTAGTATATAAATGTGAACATAAGCAAAGATGCTATAAATATGGCTTCACTGCATGCAGTACTTCAGAATCAAAGAGGTAGGGTACAGGTGGTTGATGAACAATGCCTAGAATAATTTGGCTCACTTTAGAAAATTCTGGGACAGGCAGTGTACTCTGTTCTGTGCTTGTAGCCTGAGCCTCACTTGGGAATATTTTCTAGTACGTAGATCTCACAGATCTAATAATGACAAGCCCTAGTCATGTGAAAAAATAATAAGAATACAATATATATCTTGATTGCCTCCAGGCTCTTACTAGTATCAGGGTACAAGTAAGCACACCTTAACATTTCTATTTGAATTTTGTTAGCTCAGTCCCAACCAGTTAATGACTAGACCTCCATCTCTCCTTTTCCCTTACTGTTCGTCTCCCATTTTTACATCAGACCCATGGCGAGTCCCCTGTGATTTGTTGGTGCAGATTGTTGAATATCCTATTGCTCCTGCTTTCCTTTCAGCCATCATTCTCATGCACAAACAACTTGGCTTATTTTCTTCCCACTGCTCCTGCTTGACTCTTTGCTCTAAACACTCCTAGTACTGCTGTTACCTGCCTCTGGGATTTGGCTTGATGTTCTGCAGTGTTTTAGACTGATTACCCTTTTTCTGCCAGTTGGAATGCTGACTTCCCCCCATTGAGTTCTGTTTGTCCCTAGTGGTCCTGCAAAGAGTAGTGGGACAGCTGTTTTCATTTGGAAATACAGCCTTGTATTCCCAGAATATATATATATATACCAACAGATTGGCTGGGCTTTAATGATTTCAAGTAATGGCCATTCTATTCTATTCCACAGGTAACCACTGTTCCCCTTCCTGTCACTAGATTTTGTGGCTGATTCTGAATCTACATTTTTTTCTAGTTTTTAACTAGTAAAAATACTTTTCTGACTCTGTTGAGAAGTAAAAATGATTGTGAAAGAAAGATAGGATGTGGTTAGAATGAGTAGGGTGATGTGTGTTTGAGTCAGGCAGGGGAGACAAGCCATGTTCAGAGTGCACATATATGGGTGGTGCGGGTGGTGTGTGTTCAGTGGGACCCTGTGATTTAAATAAGCATTAGAAGCCACTCGAGGTGACTGGCCAAGCAGAGGCTGGGGACAAAGAGTTAAGTGCCAATGGATGACAGCCAGATGATATCAGGATGATGACTGCATAGAATGTCCTCAGAAGACCTTGGGCATCTGCACATGCCCAGACTACTTGGCAACAATACTGGCCAGAAGAATAGGACTATTATGCACTGATTGTACATGCAGACAAATGGTGGGAGTCTTAGGGGGTTGTACAAACGGGGGTGGCAGCATGGTTTGGCTACATTAGGGATATCCACATAGTCAGAGGCAGCTTGCTAGAGGTGAGGTCCACAGGCTATTTGAATGGAAACATCAGAGTGCTGCAGAGGAGGTGGTTTCCACTGTCATATCAGTGAGAGGTGCCAGCTATGATGTTGGCAGTAAGGCTTTCAGATAAACCTGCTCACAATGGCCCTAGTCCAGTTCCTTCTGTGTAGTCTCTTTAATACCCAGACCCTTGGGCCAAGTGCTCCAGGACCTCAGCAGCATAGATGATTATTTCTTTAGATTAAATGCCTGGATGTGCAATTTCTGGCTCAAAATATGTGCAAGGTGTTAAGGTTTGGATATGTGTCAATCAATCAAATAATTCCTAAATAATGTCCTAATTTACCCTCTAAAAAGCAGTGTAAGAAAATACCTGTGTCTCCTCAACCTTGTCACACTGGATACCTTCCTTTTCATCTATGCCAATTTCATAGGCAAAAATAATATCTTACTGTTTTAATAATTTGCTCAAGGTAGTATCATGTTGAACATTTTCTGATAGATTTATGGCTATTTGTGTTTTTAAAAAAATCATGTATTTATGTTATTGATCTGTTTTCCTGTTGATATATTCACTTTTTTAAAAATTCATTTTGTTATCATTAATCTACAGTTACATGAAGAACATTATGTTTACTAGACTCCCCCCTTCACAAAGTCCCCCCCACAAACCCCATTAGAGTCACTGTCCATCAGTGTAGTAAGATGCTGTAGAATCACTACTTGTCTTCTCTGTGTTGCACAGCGCTCCCTATGCCCCCCCACATTATACATGCTCATCGAAAGGCCCCCTTTCTTTTTTCCTGCCCTTATCCTTCCCTTCCCACCCATCCTCCCCAGTCCCTTTCCCTTTGGTAACTGTTAGTCCATTCTTGAGTTGTCTGATTCTGCTGCTGTTTTCTTCCGTCAGTTTTTCTTTGTTCTTATACTCCACATATAAGTGAAATCATCTGATACTTGTCTTTCTCTGCCTGGCTTATTTCACTGAGCATAATACCCTCTAGCTCCATCCATGTTGTTGCAAATGGTAGGATTTGTTTTCTTCTTATGGATGAATAATATTCCGTTGTGTATATGTACCACATCTTCTTTATCCATTCATATACTGATAGACACTTAGGTTGCTTCCATTTCTTGGCTATTGTAAATAGTGCTGTGATAAACATAGGGGTGCATCTGTCTTTTTCAAACTGGGCTGCTGCATTCTTAGGGTAAATTCCTAGAAGAGGAATTCCTGGGTCAAATGGTATTTCTATTTTGAGCTTTTTGAGGAACCTCCATACTGCTTTCCACAATGGTTGAACTAATATACATTCGCACCAGCAGTGTAGGAGGGTTCCCCTTTCTCCACAACCTCCCCAACATTTGTTGTTCTTTGTCTTTTGGATGGTAGCCATCCTTACTGGTGTGAGGTGATATCTCATGTGGTTTTAATTTTCATTTCTCTGATGACAAGCGATGTGGAGCATCTTTTCATAAGTCTGTTGGCCATCTGAATTTCTTCTTTAGAGAACTGTCTGTTCAGCTCTTCTGCCCATTTTTTAATTGGATTATTTGCTTTTTGTTTGTTGAGGTGCGTGGGCTCTTTATATATTTTCGATGTCAAGCCTTTATCGGATCTGTCATTTATGAATATATTCTCCCATACTGTAGGATGCCTTTTTGTTCTATTGACGGTGTCCTTTGCTGTACAGAAGCTTTCCAGCTTGATATAGTCCCACTTGTTCATTTTTGCTTTTGTTTCCCTCACCTGGGGAGATATGTTCATGAAGAACATGTTTATGTCCAAGAGATTTTTGCCTATGTTTTTTTCTAGGAGTTTTATGGTTTCATGACTTACATTCAGGTCTTTGATCCATTTTGAATTTACTTTAGTGTATGGGGTTAGACACTGATCCAGTTTCATTCTGTTACATGTAGCTGTCCAGTTTTGCCAGCAGCAT